GGCATCTTTGATGTGTTGAGAGAAAGTGGCTACTTGTTGGTTAGTTGATCTTTGCTTCCTAAAACCTGCTTGTTCACTCCTAAGAATATTGTTGGTCTCAAGGAACCAGGTGGGCCTCCTGTTAACCATTCTTTCCATAAGTTCATCCAGCACGCTTGTGAGGGAGATAGGCCTATAGTTGTCAAAGTTGCTAGGGTCTTTGGCCTTTTTTAGTACTAGTATTACTATGGCAACTTTCCATTGGGTTGGTACAAGACTGATCTTCCAGATTTTGTTGAAAATCGTCAGCATGGTTTCCTTGGCTTTTAGTCCCATTCTAATTAAAAATTCCGGATGAATACCGTCTTCACCAGGAGATTTTTTACACTTTAGCTGTTTTACCATAGCGTTAAGTTCGCAAGATCTGAATGGTTCAGTAAGTACATTATTTGGTGTTGTTACGTCTTCCTTAATTTCACCAAACTGTCTTACTTGTATCTTTAAATCTCTTGAAGATTTTCTGACAAAAAGGTTTTTTCTTTTGCTTGTTGGAATAGAACCTCGCAAAGTAGTTAGCTATTTCGGAGTCTGTGGTAAGCATTTGTTGTTTAAGCGTATTGGTTCTTTCTTGGGTCTTTCCCTGTTGTTTTGGAGGTTACCCAGGAACTCGAAAGTGTGTTGGCTATCACTTTAGTAGGAGGAATATCAAAGTGAGAAAAACTAGAGATGGGGAACAGAAGTGATATTCATAGATGCAAAAGAGACAGACATAAAGGTAGATAAAATGGTAAGATGGTTGCCGTGGAAGTGGTCAGATATGTCTTACAGTGGAGTCATTGTAATTTGAAAGCATAAATCAACTGCCGGTTAATATACTTTTTTGCTGCATGAGTATACGTTGCCCAGGGTACATTACGCTTGCAAATATACGTGCATGGAAAAGCCCGATTTCGCTAATTCTATTCATAAAAATGTGTAAAAACTCAAGCACAATTCAAAGAATGTTTCAATTGAAGGTGGAAGATCGAATATTAATTGATTTAATTCGTTATTGGACCATTAGTTTTGCAAATCGGAATTATGCCCAAATAGAATGCCTTATTCTATTGTATAATTTTGTCGCTTGTTTACGAAGGAAGAATTTTGTTATCATCAGGGTTCAGTGCCGTTAATTCGATATATTACGTTAAAAATATGCATGTTGAAAAAGTGAAGTAAGGTGTAATTGGGAAATAGTTAGTAAAAAAAATGCTGATCAAGTGAATGCATATTTTAAGTTCGCATTCATCCAATGGTAGACTCAGGATTCTGGTGGAAAAAACAATAAGAGAAAAATATATTCGATTCTTTTTGAAATAGGAAAAATCATGCCTAATCTAAGTTATCAAGTTACGCATTGATGACTAGATTCAACTCAAATTTTAATCAGCCAGACCTTGAGAGGGATTCAATTTGTTTTTACATTACCTTAATGATACGTCAGTGCTCCTATTCAGATTGAAAATTTTATGATGGAAGACAGCAGCATTAACGGCAATTCGCTTTTTAAGGGGGTCAACAAACTAACCTATTTATCCGTTGCACAATTAAACAGATGCCGGTCATTCACTAAAAAGTATTAATTTACATCAACGGGTTTCGCCAAAATTTTGCCTACTCTATGCGTACACCTTCCATGGGTAAGATACAGCTCAAAATAAATGCTCTGTTTACTCTTATTATTTGATCTATCGACTTAAATCATAACCAACAATCGTGGAACAGATAGAGGTTGTACAGAACTAGAACACATACATTCTGGCAATAATCTTTCCTTGATATTTCAGGCAAACATGAAAGGTTGACCAACAATTTCGTGTAATAAAGTAAACCTACTCTAATAAAAACACTGTAAATAATCGACTTGAAGTTCCTAAATAGCTATATAATTCTATCAGAAATTTTGGGTGGAAATGAGTGAAAATTTCTAAGATAGTTAACCTTGTTTAGCTGTCAGTTAGCTAAAATCTCTTTGACGGCCAATATGCTCGTTTAAGAATTACCTCAACGACCAAGTAAACATTACCACCAAATGAGTACACTAAAATTTTATTCAATGGCTTTTATTCTTTTGGGAATCTAAACCTTACTAAATGCTTTAATATATTAATAATTGGAGCAATTTTAACCTATATGAAACCTTTTCTCTTTAACTGCCTTTTCTTATAGTTTCCTGAACAAATAAATCATTATTATTTATGAGATATTTTTGCCATCCCTGATAATTATTTGAAATTAAAGTAATAAAATCGTTATAATATTTTGTTATCCCTACTTATAGACCAATTCTACAATAATAGGGTAATATATTAAATTTGCTAGAGTGGAGTTAATATCAGTTAAAGCAAATTGTAAATTGTGTTTTCATTATTTAAATTATTTTATTATTCAAATTTCTAACTTCTAATGCATTTGAATTGAAAGTTAAGCTATCGCGCAAATAATTATGTTCACGAACTTTGGTTAGATCTGGTTATTCGTTAATATTAATTTCTACACATTGCCTTCATAAATCTTTAAAGAGCTTTAAAAATATCATTGTTTACTAACAAAGATGATTATTTATTGATTTTGTTGAAACGAGGTTCTCGTTATATTAATCTAAATACTTTTATTTGACCTTGCTCAAGATATACGACGTCATGTTCAGGGTTTGTTGTGCCCTTGTGGCCCTACATCTAATTGTTGTTCTCTCATCTAATCGAGGTAATTTATTTACTCACATTAATAAATTTTAGAATTTATCCCAACTCATGAATGGCAAGTCGTTCAGAAAAATCAAGTTGTCCCAACTGGAATTCATGTCCGCTTTGATCTTAAATCTGGCCTAACTCTGGCAAAATTAGTGGATAAAAACGATGATGACGAGAATTATGGTTTGTTTTATTTAATCTAACATTATTTTTAGACGTTGTTTTAGCTCAGAACCCTAAAGCAACTTCGGATGATTTTAGTTCATCGAAAGAAAAATTAGATTTACATAAAATGGACGTTAAACTCGATACAAGTCCTAATTTCAGACCATATTCAGAACTCAAGAAGGATTATGAGGAGATCATTAAGGTTGCTAAATCGGAATCAGCAGTGTTGACCAAGCTCTTTGGTGACTTTGAAAATTCAAAGAGCGATGAGGAATCACTACTGATCTTAGAAGAAATGGAGGATTTGCTCCGAAAGGTTGGTTTAAGTTTTTTTAATGATCGTTTTTATAGTTTGACAACGCTGTCGATTTGACAAGGAATGGGAAATTGGCTATTTTCATAAATAAACTCTCTATCGTATCTTCTGCTGTTAAAGTCCGAATACTTTCTTGTTTGGCTGCAGCTTTGCAATCGTAAGAAATTAATCTTTAATTTATTCTGTTCTTAGCAATCCTCCCGTTAAAATAGAAATGTATAAGACTGGTCTTTTAAATACACTTGTCCAGTTGTGGCATCAAGAATTACTGATGTATAATGCTGATTCATCTGTAATCGATCATTCCCTTTTGGCCACTTCTGTATTTATTAGAAACTTTCCCGTTGCACAGAAGAATTTATTTGGTCCTAGAGTTAGTGGAGACGTACCCGTGGGATATGATCTTCTCAAAAGAACTCTTGTATTTGCCGCCGATAATACTAAAATTAAAACTCGAGTTTTTTCTCTTCTTGGGGATCTTCTCGATGAATATGTGAGTTCTGGAGTTCTGTTTTTGTTTAATCTCCTAATCCGTTTTAATTCAAATTTGTATTTTCTGCTTTAGAATTCTACAAAAATGGACAATACTTCTACCAATTTAAGCCAATACGAATCGTAAGTCTTTGTTAGATTTTCGATCAATTAAATCATAAATTAGTTCAGGTCTTTTTCCATTGGTTAGTAATTTTTATTAAGTGCCCTTTTTGAAAAATTTATTTTATTTTACTCCTTTTTTATTAAATCTAGGGTAAAATTGGCCGATAATTTGCCAAAATATGGTTTCTGTCACGCAGCTGTTCGAAGCTTATTTGATCAAGACTTATCGATGAGTAATTCGCATCGACAACGAATGATGGCAGCAGTTACATTGATCTCAAGTGTTTGCGATCAAAATCAACTTTATCCTAATACTGATGCAATGGAACAAGTCCAAACTAAATTGCTCCTAAGTCAATGGAGAGCTGAGTTCATTCGTGAACGCCGAAAGGAACAAAATGATGAGTTAGATGGAGGTTATTTTGCCGAAATGTTAAATCTATTAGATGGTCTCCAGAATTCACTTTTACGTTTTTAACTGCATTAGAGGCAGTGTGTACAAACCTTCCCACATCTTAATTTTTTATATATTTCTTAACTTTTCATGCTATTGCCTTTCCTGCCGTCTTTTTTTCTAGTCATTTTAATTATATCTCCTCGATATATTTGTATTAAAATATAATATCGCTATGGTTCTAGTGTTCTCTCGTAAGTTCTATACCTCTACCTACCCTTTAACTGCAGTTGGTCATAATAAGTGTTATAATTTTAAATATAACAGAGTGATAGGTAGAATATTTGTTAATGCTTTGCAAACCGCGAATAAAAAGACTTATTTGCTAAATAAAGGTCAGTTGGGGGAGTCCACAAATTTAATAGTGAAATGTAGCATAGTACAAGTAAGATCATGTCCATGGTTTCGACGCCATGCCATTAATTACCTCTATTATAGTTTCTGGCTTTTCTTGGGCAACTGCTTTTACCTCGTGTATGGTATCACTTTCATTTTGTCGCAGGCTCAGTTTGACGGTTACACAACTCTATTAAGACTGGTCAAAGGAATTAAATTAGCGTGAACATTATGGAAAGTACGTCTTGGTGTGCAGAAATCTCCCAGTAACCGCATTTATATAATGCAGACTAATATTGATTGAAGTTAAGGTCTGAGCAAGTGGATAGTTTGCCCGATATTAGTTATTTCAAATGACAGGCGTTTTGATAGGTATCATTAGCTCTTTAGTTGACTTCGGAATTCCTATGATAGTTATCATTAGCCCTTTAGCTGACTTCGGGTTTCAAGGGGGGAAGGAACATCAAAGTAATAGAAAGTCGAGGGGTGGATAACAGAAAGTCGAGGGGCGGGGAACAGAAGAGTGATTTACAGATTAGAAAGAGTCAGACAGACACAGGCAGAGAAAATGTAGGATGAGTACTGTAGAATTGGTAGAATATGTCATTAAGGTAAGATGATTACTGTGAAAGGGGTCGAATATGACATAAGTGGGTTCACAATAATAGAGAGTAGGGTAAGGTGAATACTGTAGAAGTGGTCAACTATGACACACAGTGGTGAGTACTGTGAAAATGATCGAATATGACATGGAGTCAGCGAGTACTGTGGAAGTAGTCGAATATGACATACAGTGGGGCGAGTGCTGTTGAAGGGGTTGAATATGACAAGCAGTCGGGCTGATTGGTAGTTTGAAGTGAGAAGTCAACTGCCGGTTGATAGACGTAGTTTGAAGTCAGAAGTCAACTGCCGGTTGATAGACTTGTTAGTTTGAAGTGAGAAGTCAACTGCCAGTTAATAGACTTGTACCGTTAAAGTAAGATGAGTACTTTGAAAGGGGTCGAATATGACATACAGTGTGGGTGATGGATACTGTAAAAGTGGTAGAATACGGCATTCAGTGGGGTTAGTACTGTGGTAGGGGTCGAATATGACATACAGTGGGGTGGTGGCGTACTGTGGAAGGGGTCGAATATGACATACAGTGGGGTGAGCTACTGTGGAAATAGTCAGAAGTCAACTGCCGATTAATAGACTTTTTGATTTTCAGTCAGAAGTCAACTGCCGGTTTATAGACTTTTTTGCCGTTTGAGTAGTCAGAAGTCAACTGCCGGTTAATAGACTTTTTTGTGAAGTGAGAAGTCAACTGCCAGTTAATAGACCTTTTTGCGTTGAAGTCAGAAGTCAACTGCCGGTTAATAGAATTTTTTTGCCGATAGTGAGAAGTCAACTGCCGGTTTATAGACTTTTTTGCCGCTTTGAAGTGAGAAGTCAACTGCCGGTTAATAGACTTTTTTTGCCTTATGAGCATACGTTGCAAGGGGTGCACCACGTGGAGGTAAGTCTATCGCACACCCC